ATATATATATATATATACATTAGGGGAGAAAGCGGCGAGCAGCCGGCGGCCCGCCTCGGTGGCGAAGGGCCTCCAGAGCGCCTGAATCAGCGCGGCATCGGCGGGGCGGGGGCGGACGGGGCAAAGAGCAAAGCTCTGCCGCGCCTGGGCCTGGGAGTCCGTCAAGTCCGAGATCTCCACGTAGGGGTCTCGGTCCGGGTCCCGGTCCTGCCGAAACTCTACCGCTGTTTTGACCCATCTAACAAATTTCCTTCGGGAAGAGGCTTTCGAGGTTTCGAGGATTTCGAATTTCGAGGCTCCGGCTCTTGCTCTGCCCTCCGACTCCGCAGGACCACTGACCCTCGGCGGTTTTGGCGGGGCTCGCGCAGAGCTCTTTCCGGTCGCGAGGCCCAAGCCTTGGGCAGGGCTCCGGCCTCAGAGTCCGTTTTGAGAGGCAACAGCTGAACCAGGCTGTGAGCCGGGCCCCCGACACCTCCACCGAGAGAGCAGGGCTGTCCTGCGACCGTGCCGTCCGACCCCCGTGCCGTCCGTTAACAAAGAGCGACGATCGCGCGCGCCTCCGACCAAGGTGACCACTTGTACGTAGTCCCCAAGCGCACCGAGAAGACGGCAATGGCGGCCGGCAGGGCCTCCGGACTGGAGGCTCGCCCTGAACCCTGAGCTCCCTGCAGATTCTGCACCTCCTTGTAGGTGCACTGCCAGGTCTCATCCATCCTTTTCATGTAGCTGGGGTGTTTAGAACCAACTTACGACAGCCGGCGCTCAAGCAATGCTCTTTGAGCTCTTGGCCGGAAGTCTGCGTCCATCGCCTCGGGCGCGAGTCGTCACTGACAGCGGCACAAAGCACGTAGGGCGCGGGGTTCCTTTCAGAGGCGAGGCCCGGAGCTGCTGTGGAGGCGGCCAGGGGCTGGGCTCCCGCGCGGCCTCGGGCGCGGTGACGTAGTTTCCCGAGGCCAGCTCCGCCGGCAACGCCTGCTTCGATGTGCTCCGCCCTCTTTCTCTTTGGTGTTTCTTTCGGGGGGCTTCCGGCCTCGTTGTTGTTAGGGAGACTTTGCAACACTCGCCACCGCACTTGGACCTTTCAAAAACTCAGCTAGGCTCTGCTGCTCCATGCTCAGATCGTTCTGGCCTTGCTGGGCATGAGCCCTGCTGCCCACCTTACTACAGCTCCTAAAGCAGCAACTATCCACAAAAGGCTTGCTGTGGAGATCTGGCATGACCTTCTCTACCTTCAAGAACAAGGGACAACAACTGTACGGCGAATTGTCATTCTTGACGAATCTGCCCGAAGGAATAATCGCTTGGTGTGAAAACCGGTCGTTTTCCCGCCTGAGCCTTGGCCCAAACAGGGGGCCCCTGCGGCAAGTCACTCAGTAGTCGCTCACAGTCAACTCTGTTGGCTTCTCAAGTCTAGGACTGTACAACAGAAGGCAAACTTGACTACCAGGTTTCGTACACGCTGATCAACGAGCACATTTCCACACCCGTGACTCTTTTGGTGTAGAAGCCTGTGAAATGAGGAACCCATCTCAGAGTGGACTAATCATTCTCTTGCAGTGGTTCCACGGGCCCGCAATCTTCCTTCTCTGAAGCTGCCTTGCTCTTTTCTTGATAACAGAACCAATTGGTTGCTCTATGTTCAAGTAATTTGCGGTGATACACTCTACTAACTTTATGCTTTCCATGACTTTTGTCAAAGGATCGGATCGGACTTCGTCCGTAGGCTCTTTGGGACGGTCGTCCAAATAATATGGATCGCTGCATTCTTCACCCTTGGCTTTCCATAAGGATTCACGCATGGACGCGATCTCAATGCTGAGTCGCTTGTGCTCGGAGCGTGTCGCTCAATGAGCAGCAATCCGTAAACCAGATCTGCCTCATGAAGGCTGCGGAGCTAGCCTCCCATTTCTTGCGGCCTATAACTTGCCGAACAGATCCGCAACTGCAGCTCTGAGTCGCTTGGGCTGCAGAGTAGACCTACAAACTCTTCTGACTTTCTTTGAAGCAAAACTGATGAGGTGAACATAACCTTCAGCTCAAGCTGGGCTGTTCCAAACAGTTAAGTCTTGCGCCTTGGCTCTTATGAAGCTCCAAGGAGTCTTCTTTGCCTACCGTCATCACTTCTTTGCGTGGCTCGCATCTGTGATAACGCATGTGATAAGATTGCTCCAGCGGGCCTAGAACACCAGACTTGTAGACTAATCCTCTCTCTGGCATCGCTAGAGCATAGTCGAGGGCTTTATTTGCTTCTCGGAGGTCAGCAATTGTACCCCCGTTGCTGGCGGACTGCATTCGACTCACTCGCTACGCAAGGTCTGGTCTGCATTGCCGCGAGACCCGGGAAAACATTCCTGCAACACTCTCGATAAAAGGTTCCCCAGCTTTGCGCTTGGGCGCAATGAAGATACGCTTTACCTTCAAAGTCGTCTCCTTGCATGTAACGGTGATAGAGAAATCATCCGCCTGACTACTTTCTTTCCCGCAGTATGTAAACTCTCTTCTCTCTCTACCTTTCCGCAGGAAAACTCACTGAGCAACTGCTCAATGATAGGCTCTGCTGTCGGCTCGGCTGCCCATAACAGGTCGTCCACATGCGTGCATAATAGGGCGATTAAACGTCCCTCTTTGTTGTGCAATGCACACAGTGCTTCGAGAATCGATTCCTCTCTGAAACCTTTCTTTGTCGCACTGGTCTTGCACGTTTCCAAAACTTACGTCCCCCATCATGAGTCCCATAAACGAATACGCTGGCACCAAAACGCCTGTCAGGTGGCTCACCAGGGAGTCCACCTCGCGGTTGCTTTAGGATAAGGAGTCTGTGGAGCTCCTTTCCCTGAAAATAGGCATTTGTTCTGTCGGCTCTATTAATTTTCTAGAAGAAGCAATACTGAAAACCAAGTTTTGCGCTTCTATATCTGCAGTCGGAGAATCCGATCTGATATCGCCGCTTTCGAGGTCGCCTCTGGTAACCAGTCGGCTCTTGTGTTTGACCTCTATGTCCGGCTGACATCCTCTCAGGGCATCGTTCTTGACTGCGTCAACCCACTTGAGAGGTACTTCTTCGTGGCCTTCCGCTATTAGCTCACGATAGTGCTTGTCGTCGCGATCTATGGCAGCATTGAACTGCTTCCACTTTTCCCACTTTCGGGATCCGTCGATTCCCTTCTGCAGCTCAGGTGAACACTTCTCGTAAGTAAACACCTTTCCTTGCACGGCTTTATTCTTGTTGCTCAGCGTTTGCTCCACTTGGCTAAGAGGCTCGTCCTGAGATTCAGGTACGGTATCTTCTCGGCGTCGTTAAAGACCTCTTTCAGATTCCTGATGTTCATACTGCAAAGTACCTTTGCTCAGAACCTATTAAGCTAAACCTTCCGCCAAGGAACCAGGACCTTCCGATTAACGCCTT